AAACGCCAGTAGGCTCAGGAAGCAGCTACAGGACCTCTGGCTCAGCAGCTGACACGCACACGGTGTCCCCAAATCGCAGGCCATGAGGGTCGCAGCCACATCCCACAGGGGCCAAGCCCAGCAGGGGGCTCCCCACACTGGGCAGGGCCGGGTGTGCAGGAGATGCCAGATCTCAGAGTCACAAGGAGGCACATCAAACACCTCAGTTGTTTTTACATTTACTGTATTTTGGAAAACAGCGCTGGGGGCTGGAGATGTTATTGTTGAAATTAACTCACCTGCTACTTCTGAGCCTTTTTACTGTGGCTACTGGAGAACGTGGGCCACGGCGGCTCACGTGCTGGTTCTACGGCAGGATGCCGAGGGGCCCAGCGGGCTCGGCTCGGGGGTGTGGGTCCACATTGGGGCTCTAGGGTGGTTGGGGTGGGTCCCCAGGGTCAGCGGAAGCTTTAGAGGAAAGTACCTGCCATCAGCTCCCTGTACTAGATCCGACCGATTCAAAGCTCTCACGGGGTTTGAGGTTCCCTTCACCTACTTCCCTTTCCACCTGCTTGGGTCAGCCCAGGTCCCCAGCCTGCTGGGAGCTCCCCTACCGACGACCTCCCTTCCGCCCTCAGCAGACGTGTAGTGACCTCTGACTTCTGAGGTCACCTTCTATTTCAAGCCTGACCCAACAGCCACACAGGAAGGAAACCGACAGCTGATTTTCAGGAAGGAACACCCTCAGGCGCGGGAGAAGCAGCAAGAGGAACGTGTGAGCGTTGCTCTTAGGGAACGCGGCCTGTCATCACTCACGTTACTCTAAGTGGCCATTACAAGGAGAGGGTTTTGAGCCCTTGCTGTGTACAGGTGTTCCAGGTATGGGCCAAGCCTTAAACAAGTATTTACTAAACATCTGCAGGCTGGGTGCTGGGTGAGTCGCCAGTGAGCAGGGGACATAAGGATTCGTCCGCATAGAACCAGCAGGCGAGTGGGGGAAACAGTGAGAGGGAGAAAAAGGGTGGGCGAGGGAGGGAGGCAGGAAGGAAGTTATAAAAGGGGCCTACGGTGACACCCCAGTAGGACTGAGCACACCCAGCTCCCAGATCTTGGTTTCTAAACACCGCTCTCCAATCGAAGGAAACAGGTCATCCTGGAAACACTGGCCGACTCCAGGCGGGACAGGGAAGCACGCGGGAGCCGGGACGATCTCCGGGTGTCAGGAAGTGAGAACACGCTCAGGCGGTTGACCAAGGCGGAGAAAGCACCCAGGAGCTAACTCGGGGCACCCAGGCCACGAGACAGATGATGACAGCAACGGAGTCCACCCTACGAAACAAACCAAACCCCGTGAGCTCACACACCTGGATGGAGAGCTGAGGGGGGAGACGAGACGCAGCTTCGTCACAGGACAGTCGGAGTTCGCGGATGCAGAAAGAGATGGAAGGAGAGAGGATGTTTGCACAACGCCGTGGAAATGAAGAACTGCGACCGGGGAGGAGGCCCGTGGGCACCCGGAGGTGTGAATACCAGTGTGGGGAGGCGGAGGCAACAGGAAAACCAGCCGCACTATCTCCAAGTGTACCCCTACTAGTGACCAAGGGAAAAGTGGTGACTCAGCAGTGGGAGACCAGCAGACACCCCTGAAGCACCTGGTCAAAGCTGACAGCACCAGCATCGGGGCGTCCTTTCCCCAAGCTTCTCCCCTGAGCTTCTCACCAAAACTCAACCATCCCCAGACCACCCCCACTGAGGTGCGCCGCGGAATAACTGCCACCTCGCAAGTGTCAAGGGCACGGAATAAGGCGATCAAAGAGGCATCTCGGATTCCAGGAAAGGAAGGAGCCGCGTGGGTGAAGCCAGCATCCCAGCCGGGTCTGGCTACTGGGCCAGAAGAGAGGCTGACGGGCCACCGTGACAGTGACCGTGTTTGGAAATAGGATCTTTGCAGATGTGACCAAGTCAGGTCGCCATCCTGTTGGCTAATGTGGGGCCTAACCCAGTGACATCAACGGGAGGCAGCAGGTGGGCTAGTAACATCTCTCAAAGTTCATTTTCCGGGTTTGAGCTTGTTTCATGCTAACCCTGGAGGACCTGGAGGGAGGGTAGACCAGCACTCTTCCTTCTGTTGCAGCACTTTTGTAAGTCTGAAATTATTTCAAATTGCAAAGTCAAAAAAAAAAAAAGTAAATTAAAAACAATGCAGGTAAATAATTGCCCAATGTGATCAATGCTACACAGGAGAGAAGAGAATGGAGAACAGCGGACAGGGAGAGGTTGATGTTTGCCTGCAGAGTCCATTCGCTGAGACTTTGATGAAGAGGGAGAACCAGGTCGGCCAGCCTGGCGTGCTGGCCGAGGACCCGTGTGTGCAAAGGCCCCGGGGCAGAGACCCGCCTGCTTGCTCTTCCTCAGGAAACACTAGCGTGGAGCAGCGGGCCTGGTGGACGACACCAGAAAGACGGAGAAACAGCCCATTTTGAAGGGGAGGGTAGGTCACAAGGAAAAGCTGGATATTCCTCCTCCGCTTGCCCTGGGGAACCATGGGAAGTGTGTAAATTTCCTTCGGGACACTCCTCTTGCTTTGAACGATCATCTCTAGTGGACCCATGTGATTCCCGTCCCCTCTCAAGAGAACAGATGCACCCCCCGCTTCAGGGCGAGGGTGAAGGATTGAGGAACGAGGCTAGGCTGCAGGGGCGCTTTGGGGGGCTCCTGGTGTCCTTTGTGGTCGAACTGTGTCCACCAATCTGTTCAGAATCTAACCGCCAATGCCTTCCGCCATCATGGTGTGAGGAAACGGGGCTTTTGCAGAGGTAACCGAGATGCGGGCTCGGCTGGGTGGGCCCTGACCCGGGGACGGGGCTCCTTGTGAGGGAAGGGGAGGGAGGCTGCGGTGTGGAGACAGAGACACGGAGAGAAAAGGCTGCAGGTGGCAGTGGACAGAGAGCGGACAGGGGGAGAAGGCCCCGCCCTGTCGAAACCCCCTTCCCTTTGATTTCAGATTTCAGGGCTCCTGACAGCAGAACACCCTTTGTTTGATCACCCGTGGGGAGTACTTTGTGGCTGCACCTCCAGGGCCCCCAGCAGGTCTCCTTTTGCATCTTGGAGGGGAAGCGATGGCTAAAACGCCCCTTCTTTCCACGGTGCCCCCCAGCTCACTTACTGTCCCCGCCCACCGCGGACACGGTCACTTCGTAAACACCAGGCACTTGGGGCCCGACTGGCTGTTCTAAGACCACATTCAGATCAACCCACTTTCTGTGGCCATCTTCAGGGGGGCTGTTTGTGGGGCAGGGGGGCTGGATGTCGAGGCCTGCTGGGGGAGGAGTCACTGCACACCCAGGGCCTCAGATGAGATAATGAGATGGAAGAAAATCCTGCTCTCGTGTTGCTTTTTGCCGCCCCAAGGACTAATCTGCAGGCCTGGCCTTCCCCATCGGCTCTGGCCGCCTCCTCCCCTCTCTTCTCAGGGGCTCTGCTCACGATCTCAAAGGAAACTTGGGGTGCGAACCTTGGTGTGAAACTCTCCGAGCTGCCTTTTCACACCTGCACGCCGAGGACGAGCTCTCCACCGCAGAGCTGCTCTGCTCCCCTGAAGAGCGCCGCAGGCTTCTCACCCACGTCCATGGAGACGAAACCGGCGGTTGCCAGGGGCCGAGGGAACAGGAGTGGGGAGCGACCGCTAATGGGCTCAGGGGTTCCTTTGCGGGCCATGGCCCTTTTCCACAACTAGCAGTGGGGGGCGGCCACACAGCCTGGCGACTGACTGTCTTACCGTCGCTGCATTTTAAACGTGTACTTTAAAACGGTGGGTTTGCTGCTGGTGGATCATGCTGAAATCCCTCTTTGAGTTGGATAAGACTCATTCTGGGGTGGAGTGACACGGGGGAGCTCCTCCACCCCTCTGAACCTCAGCTTCCTCATCTGAAAAGCAGGGGCACCCACAGATCTTCCATGGAGGCACAGGGCGCGCCTTTGCAGGCACAGGTGACCGCACTGGGCTGGGCACGCACAGAGACACCCCCGGGACGGCCCCAGCACAGCGCAGATCCAGAACCACCAGCCTCATCCCAATTGGCAAAGGCTCAGCGACGTCCTGCCCCAGGCCCAGGCAGTGCCGGGCGGGGTCTGCGCCCTGGCCTGTTGCTGGCATCTGACTTATCAGCTCAAGTTGATCATATTTTAAACTCCAGGAGCGTGGCTGAGTGATTGGGCACTCTGGATTTAATTCTGCAGGTAATTTGAACGATGCTACCTAATTTCCAATGTCCCCACTCATGCGAGTGCGAAAGCAGCATAATGTTTAATTAGTGGGTAAGCAGTGAATAATGGGTGGCGCTAAGTGGACACCACTGTTAATTAAAAATCCATGGCTGATAAAAATCAATTTGGCCCGTGTGTTGAACTCAGTCTATCGGGTCCCTGTGAAAAGTTGGGGCTGCCCAGGCCCACGGTGCCATCTGCCATTTGCTGCTTCTCAGTTAAGACTTTTCTGGGGAGGGAAAAGGGAGAGAACACGGAAAAGCCTGGAAAAGCGGCAGTGGAGACGCCGCCGGCGCTCACTCATCACTGGCTAATCTGTCTGCGGCGGAAGCTGGAGCTTCGGGAAGGGCCTCGAGGCGGTGTCAGGCTGCGCCCATGTTGTCACGGAGAGATCCCGTCGCATTTGGGGTGCGTGGGCTCTGACTGCCGGGAGACCTGACCATACGGCCCACACCCCACTTCATTAAACCCTCATTTCTCACTGATAAACAAGACAACAAGAGCACACTCAGGGAAACACACCGCCTGAGGATCCGTCACCTCCGCGCACCCCCGGGAGCCGCACGTGAAGCTTGTTTTCTTCTGAACAGAAATTTCCTGGTCACCCCGAGCTGTGTGGACACGGGCGTTGGGCCGGGGCACCCGCTACGCGGCTCATGGCGTCACTTGAGTTTCCACCAGGCAAATAGCACCGGCCCCTCGCCCCCCCTGGCTGCCGTCCGCCCCCCAAACCCACAATTATATTGACACTGGCGATGTTGGAATTAACCTGCGGTATCGAATCCAGGGGAGGAGCCTCCCTGCGGGGTTGGCGGGGGGGCACGGAGAAGGTGGGAGCAGTGGCCACGGGTCGCGTGTCCCGCTCAGGTCCCGGAGGGTCCAGCCTGGCTGCCCACCGCTGCGTCCTGGCTCTGCTCCAGTTTCCCACCACCCGATCTCTTTCCAGACACCCCGGGTGTGGTGGGCACAGCCGAGAGCCCCAAAGGCCTAGGAGGTGCTCCCAGAGGGGAGGTGCGGGCACAGCCCAGCCTGGACTCCTCGGCTGGTTGTTTTCACTTCTGAGTGACCGGCTAAAGCCGGTGAATCAGGAGTAGGATGAGCCAGGACAACAGCAAGGAGGTCGTGCCGCCCCCATATTTTTACTCATTCATTCATTTTTCACTCATTCAATCATCAGTCTTCATCCAGGCAGTCAGCAAACCCTGCTCAGCACCCCCGAAGTCTTGAGCGACAGCTCAGGGGTCAGGCTCAGTCTACCCACTCAGGCATCAGCCCTGGGACTGCCACACACTGCTTGGGCACCCCCTGGTGCTAGCCCAGGTCCCCTGAGGGCAGAGACAGCCAGTGGGCGAGCTTGGCCCCAGGAGGGCTGTGGAACCACAGTGGGGGCAGGGCCGGTCTGCTCCTGGGGGCAGAGTGGCCCCGTGCAGGAGTGCGGGTCCCTGCAAAGATGATCCGTGGCAGGTCCCGGCCCTGGGAGTTGGCCTCGGCCCTGTCACCCTGGGAGGCTCCTGCAGGGGCCTGGGACAGTCTCCCCCCAGAGGCCTGTGTTCCCCGTGGGCATACCTGGGAATGCGGGAGACATTCCCTGGCCAGGGAGACAGATCCCTGGCCCCCCAACTTGGGGATCCCATCACTGCCTCAAACACTGGGGTGGCCTAAGGGGCCTGGGGGGCCCTGGGAGCACCCGAGGTGGAGGCGGGGCTGTGGCCCAGGGGACCAGGTTGGGCAGCGGAGCAGCTGGGATGTGCTGGGATGTGCTGGGGTCACTAACCCAGGTCTTCCCTCTGCAGCTGGCACTGCAGTGGCGGCCAAGACAGCAGGGGGCAGTCGCCTGCACTGGGAGCCTCCGTGCCAGCAGTCCCTGGCCAGCAGAGCGCCCAGCACTGCCCTGCTGCCCCCGCGCCTGGACGGACACTGGATCTCCACTGGGTGAGACCCCAAGACACCCTGGCCCACGGGCCCCAGACTGGGAGCCTTCACACACTCTGAATCTCAGGTCCACATCTCTGATATGGACCCCAAGAGTCCAGGAGGCCCCCACCCCCCACCGCCCGCCACACACGCACACACAGGGCAGTGGGGCAGGGATAGTGAGCAGCTCCAAATCACAATCACGGGGCAAGTCTGTGGCTCAGACAGAGCAGAGAGGAGGCCACGCGCACGCCTCCGCCTGCAGCCGTGAGCCAGGCGCGGGGCCGGGGCCAGCCGCTAAACATGGAAGCACGGAAAGAACCCACCCAGCTAGACTTGGTGCTAAGTTCTGCAACCAAGGAAATAAAAACCCAGGACATGACAGCAGGGACCTGGAGGGTTCTTTCCACAGCTGTCAGGGAAGGCTTCTCAGAGGTGGTGACAGTCCCCTGAGAGCCGAAAGAAGAGGAGTCAGCCCTCCAGAGAGCCGGAGGCAGGCAGGCAGAGGGGCTGCGGGGGCAAAGGCCCCCGGTCAGGAGGCAGCAGGTCGGAGAGGGCCCAGGTGCCTGCTCTCGGTCTGGTCCTCTATGTGGGGGGCTCTGGGGCGGCTCTGGGGCCAGCAGACTGTGCTCCGCCCTCTTTTGTGGGGGCAGCAGCTTTGACCCCTTCCCACGTGGGTGGGTGTTGGGGGACAAGTGAGGCAGTGACCTTCTCCAGGCCTAGCCCTTCCCCCACCCCCACATTCCCCTCAGGCCAGTCCTATTCCGGGTCAAGGGCTGGACTCTCGTGTCCTCCGTGCACCTCCTGCGATCAGCCCAGCTGCCAAACATCTGCTCGCACTCTGGGTGGAGGGGACTCGAGTTCTGCAAGCCACTTTGGATGCACTCCCAGGTTCCCCAGCACCCCTACCCGCCCCCCCCCCATCCAGGCATTGCTGGCCGGGTCACTCTGAGACAGAACTGGGGCAAGGGGAGGGTGGGGGCGCTTGCAGCCTGCTCCGGCCCCCAAACAGCTCACTTAGGAAAAGTTCTTCTAGAAATGCCTAGAACTTTCTTCCTAGAAAGTTTCCCTCTGTGCTCTCCAGACAGGCCTGGCTGCATCCTGAAAGCAGTGCAGCAAGGACGCTGCGTCCGGGCCCACGAGGTGTCCCGAGTGACCTGCTGCGTCTCTCTAGACCAGCGCCCCCTCCAGGGCCTGTCCCTCGGCCCCCTCGGCATACACGGCGCCCTGTTCCATCGTTACCTCCCCGTTAGTGTTTCCTTAGGATTTCCCTTTAAACGTCTGTTTACTTAAACATACTCATTTATTTGCACAGCTCCGTGAGGCATAATTGGGCTCAGGGCACAGCGCACATTACAATGTGCTCTGATCATTTTTAAAGGAAGCGCAAGGTCTCCCTGGATGTGGAGAGAGCCGCTCGCCACACACAGGGGGTAACTGTAAAAAGAAAGTCCATGAAAGCAAAACAACGGATTCCAGTCCCACTGATTCCTGGCCGCGGCTCCCAGGCTGCTCTCCCTGGGAAAAGGGGGCGCTGGGGTTCCAGCCACATGAGCCCAGTGGCGTCCTGCTCCTAGACACAATCAGGGAGACTAAAAGGAGAGTGAAAAGGGTCGTTTTCACTCTGGGTGAGACCTGTTTCCTCTCTGCTCCAGCAATCCCGGTAGCAGGGCTAGGTAGGGCAACCCTGTGAAGGAGGGACCCACTGGCTACGCTTCCTCTGAATGTGTGCCCCATTTCACCACTTGAACCTCCATGGGACAACCCCAGCAGTGCCTTGCCCCACCCAGAGTAGACCAAAGGGTCTGGGGTCGCTTCTCCTGCCCCATCCCCAACCCTGCAGAAGAGGCCAGGGGCCGAGGCTGGGGGCCAAGTCCGGCCCCTGGCCTGTTTTTGTAAATAAAGTTTTATTGGCACACCACCACGCCCACATGTACATCCAGCCTCTCAGCTGCTCTGGCTCCCCAGCCACAACCTTGAGTGGTCACCACAGAGACTACCTGGCCCACAGAAACAAAAATAGTGACCATCACAAGGAAAGTCTGCGGCCGCCTGCTCTCCATCAGGAAGCCTGTCCCTGGCACTGAGGGCACCTGGCCTGGAGAGGGAGGGGATGAGGGTAGCAGAGGCGGGCGTAGTGTTGCAGTCAGAGGACCCTGTCAGGGGGCAGGAGGCCAGGCTCAGGGCCAGGTGCTTGGAACCCAATGGGAAAGAACAGACATGACCCTGCCTCCCTGAGTCCACTGTCCAAAGGCCCCCAAGTGGTTGCAAAGGGGACCCCTCTCCTCAACCCAGGCCCCGCTACTGGCTGGCGGGCATCCACCAGGCTCGTGCTCTGGGAAGGAACAGACATGGGAGTGGAACCAGGGCCAGGGGTGCAAACCCTGCGTGCTTTTTGGGCCCCGGGGCCCGCGGGTGTGGGCTGAAGAGGGCAAGAGGATTAAAAGGAAGGAGACGTCTGAGCCTGCAGAGGTGACAAGGCAGTGAGTGGCCCGGTTAGGGGCACTGAGTCTGTGGGGACGTGCCCGAGTGAGAGGGGCCCGTGGGGCTGCTTCTCACCGCCTGCGCGTGCCCCCTCTGCCCTCCCCTTGCAGCTGCGAGGTGCGGCCTGGACCCGAGTTCCTCACCCGCGCCTACACCTTCTACCCCAGCCGCCTCTTCCGAGCCTACCAGTTCTACTACGAGGACCCCTCCTGCCGGGAGCCGGCCCACTCCCTGCTCATCAAGGGCAAGGTCCGCCTGCGCAGGGCCTCCTGGGTCACGCAGGGCGCCATGGAGGCCGACTACCACCTGCACAAAGTGGGCATCGTCTTCCACAGCGGCCACGCCCTGCTCAGCGTCGCCGCGCGCCTCAACCAGACCCAGGCCGGCCGGGACTGCGCCCGGCGGCTGCCCCCCGCCCGGGCCTGGCTACCTGGGGCGCTGTACGGGCTGCTGACCGCCCGCGGGGAGCTGGACTGCACGGCCGCCCTGGGCTTCAGCATGCACGAGCTCAGCCTGGTGCGCGTGCAGCGCCGCCTGCAGGCGCAGCCCCTCGCAGGGCCCCGGCTGGTGGAGGAGCTGTTCCTCGGGGACATCCACACGGACCCGGCAGAGCGGCAGCACTACCGGCCCACCGGCTACCAGCACCCACTGCAGAGCGCCCTGGTGAGTTGGGGCCCCAGGAGGGCAAGCAGGCCCTGCAAAAGCTCCAGGTGGGGCACAAACCCTACTGTTGACCTGGAGCCCAAACCAGGGGGCACGCATCATACTGTTGTTGGGTAGAGAGCGTTTCTCAGACCCTGGCATGCCCCCCACCACCTTCTTCAAATGCAGAGCCAGGCCCTGCAGGCCTGGGAGCGCGTTCCAACAGCCTGCGGGGAGCCATGGGGAGCCATATCTCTTTGAGATGCACCCCTGAGACCCAAAGTGCATTTCATTTAAGTAGATTAACTGAGATTTTAAAGGAAGTTGTGGGGTGAGCTGGGCGCCCCTTCTTGTCCTGGGAGGAGCGCACAGGCGGGAGGAAGCGGGGCCTCACCTGCAGAGCGCGCCTGCCAGGCGGCTGGGGGCGCGCAGGGTGGGACTCCCCTCACAAAAATACTGGCAACAGCCCAAGACGACACCCAAGGGACTTGCAGTCAGGGGACCCAGGACGGGACCCAAGAGGCCGGAAGCCAGGCTCAGGGCCGGGTGCTTGGAACCCAACGGGAAAGAACAGACGGGACCCTGTTTTAGCAGAACCGTGACCAAAGCGTGCGGGGGACACCGGGTGGGACTCTGGCCTCCCTCGAGGAAGGAACAGCAGCCATGGGTACACACCCCGCCCAGCACCCCGGCCCTGCGGAGACAAGAGAGGTGCTGCGGGGAGGGCGTGAGCACGAGTTTGCTGCCTACACACCTGTGAGAGGCTAGAACTAGGGGTTCCCAATGTCTGCACTGCACCCAAGGAGCATCGTTCAAAGGCGAGGATGGACGGGGCGCGGGTGGCCAGGCAGACGGCGGGAGGGTGCAGGGTTCCTGTCACGTGCTCTGGGGGCCCGAGGCAGCCCTCACGTCGCTCGGCATGCGGTGAGTCCTACTGTATGCAGACTCGCACGGGACAGAAGCGGATGGGGTAACTTCTCAACCCCCGGGGTTCAGGGCTGCCGCCTGCCCTCCTCTGCTCCCCTCCGCCCCTCCTCCCAACCCAGGATCCGGCTAGCAGGGGAGCAGCACAAGCGGACATTCTCACACCCAGAGCATCCGTCTGAATTCTCGCCGTGATCTCAACATTATTCCCTTCCCGGCAGCCAGTGTCGGGGCCGGTCTGACGTTCGTCCCACTTGAAGAGGATCTGGGGCCCACACCTCATTAGCGGGCGAGGAGCTCCGAATGCAGAGAGGATGGACAGCCGGGCCTGCAGGATGATAATTTCATGTGTCCCCAGGCGGCGCGGGAGTTGGGGGGCGGACTCCTGAGGGGGGCGGGAGGGAAGCAGAGCACAGGCCAGCGAGCCCCCGTGCAGCGCCAGCGGGATATCTGCTCACCAGCCGCCCCCCACCCCCGAAAGGCAGGAAAGGGGGACAATTTCAGAGGAGGACGGGCTGCCGAGAGCCCCCCAAGTCACGAATGAGTCGTTTCCTTCTGCTCTCCAGGACCCAAGCCCTGCCCCGGACCCAAACCAGATGGTAAACAGGAACGTTTTTAGAAGTTAATTTAAAACCAATTTGATCCCCAAATTCATTGCCTGGATGTAGAACCCCAATCAATCAGCCAACACTCGACCAAAATCATCTCAGCCTGGGGTCCTCTCTGGGGGTTAATTAGAAACTGTTATGTGCTGTTTGAGACACGACTTTACGTCACAGGCTTCAACCAGGAAGCGTCTGGCTTCGGCTCAAGCGGGAACTCAGCCGGCCGGGCCTGGGTCATGAACACGTGCCGCCCGGCCCGGGCTGCGTGACGCCGGGAAGATTTGGGGTAGCAACGGGCGCCTTCAAAAGCCGCCGAGGAGCTCTCCCTTCTGTCAGCCAAGAAGCCAGTTCCCGGTGTGTTTCTGCCAGGCAGGAAACCGCCTGCCTCCCAGGGCCGACTCGTACCCCCAGATATCCCGTCTGCAGAGGACAGCTCTTCGGGGTGCAGGGGGAGCAGCCCTAGGCTATCGTGGCATGACGCGGCATGTCCTCTCAATGCGCAGCAGCAGGACAGCAGCTGGGATGAGGGTTAAAACGCCCGCGTCTCAGTCGTCGCCTCTCAGCAGGTGCCAATTCCTGACGCCCCCGGCTGCCCGGCGGCTCCAGCGCCCCCCAGGGACTCTGCATCCTCTGGGTCAGAACCCCCCGAACTACAGATAATGCAGTTTTCCATAGTATGGAAATCAAGGCAGATTTGGGTTCAGCACAGAGACCGGTATGACGTGTCTAGAATGTGGCGACCTGAAAAGGGGGGCCCTGCCCCACCAAGGGGTCTGTCCGTTCTGAATCCAAACTCCCGGCCCCGCTCGTCGGGCAAGCGGCTCACGGGCGCCGTCTCGGGGCGGCTCTCTGTTCCTCTGCAAGGGGAGGAAACGGAGATGCCCTCCCAGCCGGCCGAGCCGGACGGGTGTGGCCCGGCCCGCGGCGCCCCCAGGAAGGGAGCTGGGGAGCTCGCGCGTCAGCCTGGCTCTGCCACGCGGCCCTGCAGAGGAGTCACCTGCACGGCGGGGCTCCCGACCACGAACCCCCCCAGAGGCCCGCCTGGTTCTTCTTGGCCTCCGCGGAGCTTCTGGCTCCAAGCGGCGGGCTGGCGGCTCCCGGGCGACTCTCTCAGCATCTGCTTGGCGCTGCGTTTCTCTGCGAGCCCAGCCCGGAGAGGGGGCGAGGCAGGGCCGGGGGGAACAGGCCAGGGGCGCAGGAGCGGGGTCCAGCACCTGGGGGGGGCTCCGCAGGCCCTGGCTGGTGAGCCCCAGCCTGCGGGGGAGTGTGGGCCGGCCGCCTGGGGCGCAGGGGGCGGCAAGGAAAGGCCACGAGCCGCGACGGCCGACGTCAGGGCCGGCAGGCTGGCGGCCACAGGGCAGCCGCTGGCAAGTCCTAGCCCCGCGCGCGCCAGCGACATTTCTCCATCTCTCGCCCACGACGCTGCCATGCGTGGCTGGTCCCGTCCCCTCCCCCCTCCACTCACAGCCCCCCGTGGCCCCGAGGAACTGGGGGTCACCCTGGCTTTCTCACCTACAGCCCGAGGAAGGGGAGGTGGTGGGGAGGGGAGAAAATGGGGGAGAACAGCTAGGAGGAAAACAAAAAAGGGGGCGCCTAGACTTCATATGGGGTGGCCAGGAAAGCTCTCTGCGCTGAGACCTCAAAGGGCGGGGTTCCAGGGGAACAGCACGTTTGAGGCTGAGGCTGCAGGAGCTCAGGGTGGGGTGGGGTGGGGTGAGGGTGGGGTGGGAGTAGGGTGTGGTGGGGGTGTGGTGGGGTGTGGTGGGGTGTGGTGGGGTGAGGTGGGGTGGGGGTGTGGTGGGGTGTGGTGGGGTGGGGTGGGGGTGTGGTGGGGGTGTGGTGAGGTGGGGTGGGGGTGTGGTGGGGTGGGGTGGGGGTGGGAGTGGGGTGTGGTGGGGGTGTGGTGGGGGTGTGGTGTGGTGTGGTGGGGTGTGGTGGGGTGTGGTGGGGTGTGGTGGGTGTGGTGGGTGTGGTGGGGGGGTGTGGTGTGGTGTGGTGTGGGTGTGGTGGGGTGGGTGGGGTGGGTGTGGTGGGGTGGGTGGGGTGGGTGTGGTGGGGTGGGGTGGGGGTGTGGTGGGGTGTGGTGTGGTGTGGGTGTGGTGGGGGTGTGGGGGGGTGTGGGGTGGAGTGGGGGTGTGGGTGGGGTGGGGTGTGGTGGGGGTGGGGCGCGCGGGGCAGGCGGGAGGGGCCCCCCGCCCTCACCCCTCGCGCCCCGCGTGTCCTCTCCTCTCTCGCAGCGCCACGCCCGCCCCTGCCCGGCCTGCGGCCTCATCGCGCGCGCCGACGAGCACCACCCGCCCGTGCTGCCCGCGCGGGAGGCGCTGCCGCTGCGCCTGGGCGGCCGCTGGGTGAGCGCCGGCTGCGAGGCGCGCCCGGCCGTGCTGTTCCTCACGCGCCTCTTCACGTTCCGCGCGCGCGGCCGCGCCTGGGAGGGCCGCTACCACCACTTCTCCGACCCCGCCTGCCGCCGGCCCACCTTCTCCGTGGCCGCCGCCGGCCGCTACTCGCGCGGGGCGCCCTCGGCCGCGGTGCGGGGCGGCACGGAGCTGGCGTTCCGCGTGACGCGCGCCCGGGTGACGCCCCGCGACGCGGCCACCACGGCGCTGCTCAACGGGGCGGCGCCCGGCAGCTGCGGGGGCCCGGGGCGCTGGGCGCGGGGGGCCGAGCGGGACGTCACGGCCACCCGCGGGTGCCGGCCCCTGGGCCTCCGCCTGCCGCACGTGGAGTACGAGCTCTTCAAGGTGGAGCGCGACGCCCTGGGGCGCAGCCTGCTCTTCATCGGGCAGAGGCCCACCGACGGCTCGAGCCCCGACACCCCGGAGCGGCGCCCCACCTCCTTCCAGGCGCCCCTGGTGCGGTGTGAGCGCGCCGCCGCCCACGCCCCCGCCGCCCCCGGGCCCTGGGCACCGGGGGGCCGCGCGCTCGCCCCCTCCTGCCCCTGGTTCTCGGGCTGGCCTTCCTGGGGGGGCTCTGACACGCCCGGGTCTGGCCCCCGGGAGGGCGCCCCGGCCCCTCTGAGCGCCCCCCCCCGCGCCAGCGCCCCCCGCGCTCCCCAAAGCCCGCACCCCTCCCGAGGGCCCTGGGGCAGGCGCAGGGCAGGGGGCACGCAGGCCCCTGCCCTGGCACCCCCTTCTCTCCGCGCCCCGGGATACGGGGGAGGGTCTGCGCGGGCGGCAGCTCCCGTCCAGCCTGTGGGGGTTTCCAGATCATTAATTCAGATTTAGCCGCACAAACCCCGCGCGGGCCGTGGATTAAAGATGCTGCTGCGGCCTGGCAGGGGCTGGGTTCCCGGGGCGCGCCCCGCCTGCCAGCCCCGTGCCCAGGCTGCAAGTGCCCAGGGGGTGCCCGGGCGGGGAGGGCGCAGGGCTGGCTGCAGCGGCAGGTCCGAGGAGGGCAGCGGTGCTCCCAGCCTTTGGGAAGTAATTAAGGCTCCAGACGAGCCTCCCCAGAGTCCCCGCCGCTGACTGACAAGGGGGGTCTCTCCCCGCCCTTTCTGGGACCACCCCGCGGGGAGACGTCCAGGTCAGCGGGGAGCAGGCCTAAGGCCTGGCCTCCCGGCCAGGACACTAACACACTGACGCCCCTGCTCTGTCCCTGGGCAGGGGAGGGGGGCAGGCTGTGCCTCTCCAGGGACCCTGCCCACCACCCCAGGGCCTCGGCTGTGCACTGTGAAGGTCACCAGCACCCCGGGCCTGGGCTTGGGGACTGGGTGCTGGCTGGTGACCCGCCCCGCCCTCCTTCCCAGCTCCTGTCTCTGGCCCTTACCACACTCCCTGAGCAATTGCCTGCGAGGCGAATGTGCTGTCAGAGGGAAGCCCTTGTCCCGGCCAGGTCGTGGGGCTCCATGAGTGCTAAAACTGCTCCCACTTACCTGCCCATTCTTAAAAAAAAAAACCCACATTAATATGCTCTGTAGGCCTCAGCGAGCTACCAGTGTTCCTGGAGTATTTACCACGGCACAAGAAATAATTTGATTATTTACTGCACCCGGGTGTGGGGGGGGTCCCCGTGGGGACGAGGGAGGGTGGCGCCAAGGTGCCCGTGGCTGAGCAAGCCTTGTACCCGAGGCTCGAGGCAACCACGCCGCCATTTATCATCAAATTTGAATCTTTTAATAAAATTAAACAGCCTGAAAAATGTTCTTGCTGGTTATTAAAGTCAACCAAGGGGATTATGGTTCTAGAGAAAGGAAGTGAACTGTCTTCCCCAGAACGTGTGAAAGAATAAAATCAGCGGAGGAAAGCCCCGCCCCCGCCCCGCTGCCTGTGGCGCCCCTCGCGCCCCTCTGACAGCCCCTCCGGCCTCCCCCGGCCCAGGCCACACTCAGGCCTCCTTGACGGCCGGTGGTTTCTGCCCTAACATCCCTCCCCAGATGGCGAAGTTTGGCTTCTTTTCATCAAGGTCCCAGCACCCTCATCAGCAGCCCCCCAGCAGCCTGTCCTGGCCCTCCGCGTGCTGTCCTCACAATGCCGCCGCCGACCACTGTCCCAAAGGACTGCACGGATGCCCGTCTGTTCCTGCCTCCTCCAGGGAGGGAAAGCTTGGGGGTCAGGAGAAAGTTCCGTTCAGGGCTGACCCTCTCTAGCAAGCGCCTGGCTCTTGGCAGAACCCCAGGAAACACCAGTTCAAGGCCTGGCAGTGATGGCTGTGGCCCCTCACCCGCGAGGACCTGGGGTTCTGGCAGAGAAGGGGCAGCCCTAGGTCATTAGCAGCTGGGCCTCCATCTCAGGGTGCCCTTTGTGGCTCTGGGCCCCGACAGGGTGGAACTCCTCGGCTGTACTTGGGGTGAGCCATCTAGAGCCGCTTGCAGCCTGGCGTGAGCGTCACGTGCTACAAGGCGGGGGCTGGGGAGCGCAGGGTCCTGGCCCCGCAACTGGATGAGTTCAGCCCCCCCACCCCCCCGCCACGCCGGCCATGGTCCTGGGGCCGCAGAAGCTGATGGAAAACATCAGGGCGGGAGAAAGGACAACAGGCCCTACACTCCTGGGTGCAAGGTCTCTTCCCAGACTCTGAACTGAAATAAGGGGGGGGGCAGCTGGGGGACCCCGAGCTCCAGCATTTTTTATTCCTCATCGTGAGGCTTGACCCTCCGTGAAGAGCCCAAGACGGCTCTAATCACAGGAGGGGAGAGCAAACCCCGCCGTTCTGGTTCAAAACAAAACAAAACAAAATTAATGTTCTCCATTGTATGTTCAGTCACGTTTAAAAGGGAGGAAAAAACCCGTGCAGTTTATAATTTCACAGCGCAAGCTCCCGGGAGAGCAAATGAGCTTTTTTTTTTTAATAAAAAGTTTAAATTGTATACAGCTCTCAGAGGCCCATTAACAAACAGATGCTGGTTATCAAAAGAAGTCATTTCTTTGCTGTCTCTAAGCGAATGTGTTTAATCTCCCAGGAGTGCTTCTGGCCGGGGTGAGAGCCGAGGGCAGTGACTGGGCCCTGCTTCTGGGGGGGCAGCGGCTTCCTGCCGCAGAGGACAAATGGGGGCAGTGGCCTGAGGGTCCCGGGGCCATCGCAGTTCCTGGTGGCCTCGAGACTACCGCCTCCTCCCCATTAGAGGGAGGCGAGGGAATCAGCTGCAGGTGGGCCGGAGGAGAAGCTTCTAAGCTTCCAGGCCACCTGCCTCCACCAGCTCCCCACGCCCGCCCTGCCCCAGGCCGGCAGCAGCCTCCCTGCTGGTCTCCCGTCACACGGACGCGGCCCTCTCGGGTCCTGCGGGACGGTGCTCCTGCTGCCTGCAAGGTCTTGCCCGTCTCAGGCCCCTCCCGCCCTGCACCAGCCTCCTACCCCTGAGCAGAGCACCCTGGTCTGCCCGGGTCTCCACAGCACCGCCCAGGCACAAACACGGGGCCAACAAGTAGATGCCCACATGGGCCTCCCGAGGGTGCCATGAGCTCTAAAGCGGCCTGAGGTGCTGCCCTGTGTGGTCTGAGTAAGGCAGGAGAGCAGCTGGGCTCTGCGCACTTGAGTCCTGCCACCAGCCAGGCTCTCCAGGGGCAACAGTAGTCCCTGAATAGGGGCTCCAGGTCCCCTGACCCAGGGCCTTCTGGGGGTCCATCTCCAGCTTCTCATGCCCCCTCTGGGTGAGGCAACGGGGAGCCCCTTGGCCTCCTGCAGAGCACCCTCACTGAGCGCCGTGCCTGCCCCCTAGCTCCTCCCCAGCAAAATGAGCTTCCTCCTGATGAGCCCGGAGCATCCAGCCTGGCGCCGGCTGGGACTCGCACGTGACCCGAGGAGTGGATGCGGATTCTGAGGTCAGTGTCAGCTCAGTGGGGGCAGGTGTTTGCCCAGCGATGCTGTATTTACTTCTGAGGAATTGTTAATTAATGACTGAACACGATGATTCCTACATTGGTGTTATTTAATCCTGCACAACGTAGGTGGCCATTACTCCTGTTAAAATGAACGTGCCGGTAAGACCTACACGTATTTATGGAGCACCCGGCATGGACCAGGGGCCATGCTGGGTCCTGGGGAGGAGGCCCCCAGACTTCTGGTGACACTGGCAGGTGGGGCACAGACCTTTTACCACCACTTCATTCTGAAGCCGAGAGACATTACAGACAATGAGAGAAAGGCTCCAAATCACATGGTGAGCAGGAGAGAGACAGACTCCAAGGGACTCAGTAACATCCTGAGGTCAGGAAAGCTGCTGGGCTGACAGGGGGGCTGACAGCAGAGCAGAGCAAGTGCAGGCACTGACTGGGGGAGGAGCCCAGAGCACGGGCGCTGGAATCTGAAGGCTGAGCAATCAGGCGAGACACCACAGGTTAGGAGCTGGGGCTGAAAACAGGAGGATTTGTGGGACGTCTGTAAAGGAGTTCTAGCCCCAGATCCTCTCCCTACCCCCGTAAGAAACCGGATGTTTGACCAGGGGCCTTGGGACATGGAGACACCAGACGCTGAACATCTAGGTAGTAATTAAAGCTCCAACACAAGGCAGGGAGCCTCTATAGGCTCGTCTTCCTTGAGAGTTCGTGGCCAAGTTTAGGCCATCGGGCAGGAGATGGGAACGTGATAAGTCAACCACAGAGGTGCCAGCCAGCAGTCCCCAAGGGGGCATCTGTCAGGTCCCTTCCTAGCTAGTGTTCACAGAACCCACACTGAGTAGACCCGTCAGCCTTACAGGGCTTCCCTCATACATGCGTGGTCAGCCAGAATAATCAGGTGTTTGGAGAAAGTCTCCAAAACAAAAGACAAAGCCGGTCTGAAGTGACTAGCAGCTCTTGCAATGTAGAGGATTGCACAGTAACAGCAAAAACCCTACCAGGCTCAGTGAAAAGAAGGTAACCTTTTAGAAATCACTATTTTTGGATCCTCTACAATAACCAAAAAAACCTATAATATCCTCAGCAAGAAGAAACTGTTATGCATCTAGCCAGACCAGGTGGCTATAAACAACTAATATTAAACTGGGAGAGAATGAACTCTTGAAAATTATACATAGGGCAGCAGAAAAATATCAAAATAAAGTTGGAAATGAAAGTTGACTTTCCCCAGATAAGGGGAAGCTGGTGGCGATTAGCAAACAAAACTTTCAAAACTCTCAGGGTGATTTCCCACCTCAATTTTTATACCCAGTACAACTACCAGGGAGGAGGGCAGCACACAGGACATTTGCAGATATGCGAGGGTCTCAGAAACCTGCTCCATCACCCAGAACAAGGAGGCCCAAGCTCCAGAAAACAGGGGATACCACCCCAAAAAAGAACAAAAGTCTTTGCCAGGAGGAGAGCAATGCTGCCAGTCTCCAGAAGTGAACTTCCCCAGGAAAAAAAAAAACAACATAAAAGTCATGGCTCGCCTGGTGGATGAACGCACTAGAATGTCAGAGTCTGGAGCTGGGCTAACGACACACAGGAAAGTGAGCAAACACCCAGATTCAGTCACTCCAGGGGGAACGGGAGTCATGTACAAAAGGGAAATGGGAGCAGACACAGGAGTAGACAGTATTGTAAGTATGTTTAAAAAATGCCAAAAGATACTGACACAGCCACAAGCAATGCAAACACACTGGGGGAGGGGCAGGGAGAAAGGTTATAAGAGCTAAATCCTTACCTTAAAAGATCAATAGATAGTATCTAGAAGTGAAAATTCAAGAAAAAGAAATATAGCCAGGTGATTCAGAAAAACAGAGATTCACAGCACAAGAATTGGAGTGCTCCAACGGCTGGCCTGAGGATGTGCTTGCCCAGGGGGCTGAGGGTGTGCTGGTTTTCAGTATGATCCCATTAGAGCTATTTGGCTTTTTACTCTATGCACATGAAATGCTTGGTTAAAAATTAAAATTAAAACTCCTCAAAGCCAAACCCAACAACAAAACTTACAACCTCCCCCAAAATAGCTTTGAACTGTAAAAGGCAGTCTCGAGTGAGGGAGGGTCCAGATGCTTGGGGGCAGTGGGGGGATCTGCCTGTGCAGAGTGGGCTGACCCTCCACCTCTGGCTGGCAGGAGCACCACAAGGCGCATGTCTGACAAAGATGGGGCCACTGCGCTCACACAGGGGCCCAGTGAACAGCCCTTCGGATGGAAAGTTCTTTCTGTGTTTTGGAGTCTGGTGTAGAAAGAGCCAGTGACACCAGGGAGGGGGACCGTGTAAAGCGGGGGTCTTAGGTTGACTTGAAAAAGCCTCCTGCCTTCCCTGCACACTTTCCTAACATTTTTGAAGTAGCATAAAGTTACATTTTTCAAGAAGTCCATAACACTAATTTGGGGTTTCAATTTTTTTACTATTTCTTTTCTCCTTTGAAGTGATTTTAGTGATCAAACATTGCTAAGAAAACAGAAAGAGAAGTTCTACTTGAAAGAAAGAAAAGTCTAGACCCCGAGTGCAATTTCTGAGGGTATTCTCAGTTTCTGATGGAGCCCGCCCCTCCCACGGGGCTCTGGCAGATTCTCGGGGAGCAGATTTGCCTTCTAACACTAACAAAGACAAGGGCCCACCTTGCGCCCTGCTTCAGAACAGCTCCTCCCTTGTTTGGAGAGCTGTTTCCCAGCTTGCATTTTAACCCTTGAAAGCTGCTTGCCACCTCTCAGTCCCTCTTCCAGCCACTCCCCAGGGCCCAGCCCCCATGAGCACCCTAATCTGAGGCTCCAAGGCACCCAGGGGCGGGGGTGTAGGTCGAGTGCCTGCGCCTCATCTGTGGGCCACGGAGGCTTGTGTTTGCCCCACTGGTCCATCCTACAGCCTTGGTTTTCTAATTAGCAAAATGATGGGTTTCCTGATGCCAGTCGTGATTATTTGCCCTTAGGATCCTCGCCCAGGGTCTGTCCTCAGCCCCATCTGGGAAGCCTATTTCCTCCGGCTTCCCTCTAGTTCCTCCTGTGACCAAATGGCCTTGACCCAGAGAGAAAGCGGGTCAGCCTCTGGCAACAATGAACTAGAACTACCATGTCTTCCCCCCACCCCGCCCGGCACTTTTCAGGTGGGCAAAGACCTACAGGGGGACACCTGGGAAGGAGCTGGCGGTGGGCAGGCGTGGGCCACAGCCAGGGCATCCTGGAGGTCACCTGACAAGAGTCGGCCACTGGGGTCCTGGGAATTTGGGGGCGGACAAGGCAGGCCCTGGGCACAGGTAGGAGCACGCACCTGAGAAAGACACGTGCAGGAAGCATCTCTGGGAAGAGCTGGAGAGAAGCGGGGGGCTCAGGAGTCTCCAGAGCAGGGTTTGGAGGGGCCTGCATGGGCTGTCTATTCTCTGGTTGGGCGTGAGCTGGCACACAACACTTTTCCAAAAGAAGTCAACACTTGTTCATGGATGCGCCAACAAGAAGACATTGAAGAATCAGCCGCCGTGGCTGAGTACGGACACTTGCTGCCTGCAGACGGGGCACGTCTGCCTAGTGGGCACCCGGTAAACGAGGGCTGTGCCCCCCAGCCCCTGGAGGACAGCCTCTGGGGGCAAGTTTCTGCATCAGAAAGGAGGGGAGTCGACTGAAGTTGCCCTCGGGCCTGCTCTGTGGCATAGACACCTGTGCTGTTCTGTGCCATAGACACCTGTGCTGTTCTCTGTGCCACAGACACCTGTGCTGTTCTCTGTGCCATAGACACCTGTGCTGGTCTCTGTGCATAGACACCTGTGCTGGTCTCCTAAGCAGCAGGGATGGAGCGGGGTGATGAGTTCTGGTATGTTCTCTGAAGCACGGCTAAATGCTCTTAAGCCATCCATTCAAAATAATTTTACACTGAAGCATCCTTTCGGTATATTCAGGGCACAGAATTTATTGGACATAGCGCGGAGACAGCTAGGAGGAGGTTTATGCCCCGGCGGGGCGGCCCCGGGGCGGACGCGGCACGCAGGGACAGGCCGTGAATGGCTCCTTCGATCCTGACGCCGCAGAAATACATCTCCTGCCCTCTGGGAGACGTAAAGTCAGCCATAAAACCATGGATTTATTACACATCAGATAAGCAAAATGGACGGTGGTAAGGAGTCCTTCCCTGCACCCACTTTTTAAATGAATTCCATGTCAAAACGGAGATACAACTTAAAATATATAAAAGAAAAATGACAAAACCCGAGCATTCGTAGACATCTCTTAAAATAATCACACACACGAAAGGCAATAAAAACGCGTCACAAATCGCAGAGACTTTTCGAGACAGATGGGTGCCGGGCGGGCCGCCCCTGAAAGGGGAGGGGGGGGCGTTAACGTGTCGTTCAGCCTCCCCGGGAGGCTTCAGTGGCCCCCCTTAGTGTGTCTTAGGAAAGGAATGCAGCGCCAAAAATGAGGACCAAGTGTATTTTGCATTTTTCTCTCTACACAGAAGCTCGATCAACACCTTCCTTGAGGCTGCTTAGGGATAGAAAACACCAGAACAAAATCACTCCCATTGATTAACTTCTCAGCATCTCCCACAGCAGCTAAGCGATAGAAGGTAAACAGTGTTTGCAAATGAGCCGGGGACCCGCGAGAAGCGAGCAGCAGTTCTCAGACATGAGATCTCAGCAATACAGACAATAAATTCTGATCTTTGACGCCAAGAAAGACAGTCCCAGTCCGTGGGAAAAAAAAAAAAAAAACATTTAAATGCATGCTGCGCGGGGGCGGAGGGGGGTCCGCTGATTTTCGTTTACTTCTAAAATACAAAAGAAAGGCAGCCAGCTCGTGAAAAGAACCAGACCTTTTTACATGGAGAACCGCGCGTCCTGTGAGCAACCGCGTCTGCTAATGTGTCATCTTCCGCAATCACCACAGCTCTGCATTTTTCTTAGCACTAAGCCCTAATGAAATCGTGTTAAGAGATGCGATGTGTCTCCCCGAGTCGGTGGTTCATGAAGGGAAACGAAAAAGTAGAAAGGAAGCTGCTTTGTTTGGGCCGGACTGGGCTTCGGGTTGGGGGGCTGGGGCCGCTCTCCTGCAGAGGCCCGGCCATGCCCAGCCTCCGGCTGGGCGGGGCAGGGAGCCGGGCAGGCCCCAGCAGGCCCGCACCCACACCCATTAGCCAAATGATGAACTACGCATCAGCCCTGCCGTATCACACAGGAACTGTAATAGAGCGTTGTCACAGGATCAATGTTTCCTGGTTTAAAAATAAACATTAGCATTTATCTAGCAACAGAAAACTATTATCCCACGGCACTGTTTTATTCGACTGAGATCTTTTAATCAAAGCAATCCGAACGGTGGAAGCATGCCAAGGTATCATCATCGCGAGTATTTACGGCAAGTTGGATAATAGCTGTGTTTTCTGTTGCTGGCTCCTTCCTCCTTTCGCTGCAGATTTGATGCAGGCATTTTCTAATGAATTAATTCCACTAAGAAGAAGGAATCTGAAGTAATTCTCTTAATGGAGACAACCTCTCGGCCTCCTCCGCCAGGCGCAATGTTGCTACACTCAACTGTTTATGTGCGCTCACGGCTTTTCAATTTTTCAGAATCCCTCTGCAGGGACAATAAATGAAAATGAAACGTTAATTTTCAGGGCTGTAGCTAAAAACCTTCCCCCACCCCGAGGTCAGGCTCTCGGCACAGGGGGCGCTGTCGGCACAGGGGTGCCCTGGGCACCCCCACCCGTGTGCCTCGCACCCGGGCTGAACATGGGGCTGGTGGGGCAGGGGTACAGGAGAAAGGGGTGGAGAATCTCCCTGGAGATCCTCTTCCGTAGCCTCCTGGTCGGCCTCTCCCCGGCTCCTTATTGGGGTCTCCCAGCTCCCTGTGGGGGGGATTGTGAGCCACGGAGCCCGCAGGCTGAGCCCGCAGGCCACTCTGTGACACCCACCCCAACGCCCCGCCCCCGCCGCACATTCGATTTACAAGTGATGGGCCCGCCGGAAGGTCCCGCGTGGTCCCCTGGCAGGACCCGGCTGGAGATTTTCTTTCCAGAGTCCCCTTCCCCCGTTGAGCCCCAGGAACGCCAGGCACAGAGCGCGCTTCGGGCAACGAGAAAACGGAGAGCGCACATTTCTCTGCTGTCGGAAGTGCTCGGCGGGCGCCCCAGCTCCGTCTACTTTATCTTGAGGGTGACCGCGCTCCCTAGGAAGGCCCTTGACCAGGAGGGGCTCGGTCAGGCGGCCGAGGTCAGCGGGGGTGACCAGCCGCCGCCATTACACCGGCCCTTGGAGGGGTCCGTGCGTGGGGACGGCGCGGGCCTCCCCACAGACGCAGCCGCCCCAGAGCAGAGGCTCACGGAGTGGCCCCGGTGAGGCTCCCGAGGCTCCGGCTCCCCCGCAGAACGGGGCCCACGGCCCGCAGCAAGGCGGCTGTGGGTGGGGGAGCCCCGCCGCCCCCTCCCAGGGAAGTTTGAAGACAGACACCTCCGAACCCAAGCAGGCCAGAGAAGCCTGGGGGACCCCACTTCACACGCACGAGCCGTCATCTCCCATTGCACATGCGCCGGGAATGGGGTCACCCGTCCTCTTGGGGGGGCTTTCTAAACACAGCTCTCTCTGCTGACCTCTGAGGGTGCTCACTTTCAGCAGCTCTGACGCGGGCCCGGCTCCTGGCAGGACGGGCTCCCCCCAGCTCTGTGCAGCCCCCCCGGAAAGCCTCAGCAGCAGGGGAGCGCGGCCCCCGCCCCACCAGTTCTCGGGGGCCAAGTGTTTAAAGTGACTTTGAAGCCCAAGCGCCATCTCGCCTCAGTTTCTCCCGCTAACGCAAGAATCACAACAGAAACTGGAACAGGGGCCAGTTCTTCCGAGAAGGAAGTGAGCGTGACAAATGGCATTGTATTTTGGCATGGAGTCTGAGTTTGCAAATAGAAAGATTTGTGTGTGCAAAATTCCAGGCACCATTTGAAAAACGTTAAGCTCCTTACAGATGGTGCATATGCTACACACACAGCTTGTTTTTAAATTAACGTGAAGGGCTCTCAGCTCCGAGCTGTCACCGCGGCGAGTTCTATCTGACTCGGCGCAGCCCGCGAGTCCGGCGCTGATATCTTCCGATAGCTGTTCTGTCCCTAGGATTTGTTTGAAAGCGTTTAGGTTTTCACGGATCGCTGCAGGTTCTTCATTTCTCCCCCTTCTGTGTTATGTAGGCATAAGCCGTCTCTCTAGGCATAAACTGTCCAGTGGTAAAAATCAATTTTGATTTTATCAGTATTTATTACTGCTGGTGCCAGCAGTTTAGAAGACCAGGGAGAGAAAACATGCAAACTAGGGAGAGGGAAAAATTAAAGCAGGGCCTTCACACCTCCCAATAATACAGCCTTGCTGCTTGTTGGAGGCATTTTGTCTGGTGCAGGAGTTGAAATTATCAATTTAAAATTTCAATCAATAGGCGTTGATGGGGCTGCGTTACTGCTTAACATCTCGTGTATTTACGAGCTCGTGCCACTGTTTCTAGAGCGAAGGCGCCCCGGAGCCAGCGCCAGGCAAGCCCACCTCAGAGCGCTCCGCTCGCCCTCCCGGCGCAGACGGACAGGCCCAGAGGGACAGACAGGACCCCGCGGCTACCCTTGGCCTCCTCTCCCTAACTGCTGCTCGACCTAACCCTCACCCCAACCCGCTAGCGTGTGGGCGCCGGGCGTCGCCTGTCAGTGAGACTTCGGGGGAGGGGGAGTTAGAAGAGAGGACCCTGGACTTGTAGCTGCAAAGTCCAAGCCGAGGGCCGCCGGCACATCCCAGAGACCGGCCTGGCAGGCTCCTTCACCAGACCCAGTCACGGTGCTGCGGGCCCCAGATTGGCCTCACAGGCCAGAGCCCAGCGGTGGTTTTGTAATAGTTTTATCAGGACACGTGGTCATGGCCTTTGGGAGTCTGAAGTGGGTCCACACTGCTCCCCAGAGCGTCCGGGGTCCTCTCACCCGCTCCCTTCCAGCCCCACGACGCTGGAAGCTACATGAAGTGAATGGCAGAACTCGGGTCTCGGTCTGTCCCACCATCTTTCCTCCCGTGTCTGCAGGAGGGGCACCGGCCCCCACATTGCGCCGAGCGCCACGCCTGTCCCCTGCTCCCTGTGAGGACTTGGCTTCCCAGTGGACTGCTTTCACGAGGACAGGGAGTAGCTTATTTGGAGCAGCGGTTGGGCGGGGGGGACCCACCCCTGTCCTCAGCCCCTAACCAGGCAAGCAGGGCCTGGACCGATGACCCCACGGGCTGGGGCGCGAACTGTCTCTAACACACCAGGCGGTTCTGCGCGGTCCCTTGACCCAGAAGAGATTTCCTCTCACTGAAAGGCCAGGGTGTCCAGCTGCCTGAGATTTTCAGCAGTTTTATTTTTATACTTCTGGTGGAAGCCAACTCAAAAAAACCCAGACGTCTGTACACGCTGACATCGCTGAACACACATTTCTCACTGACAGGGCGTGTTTTTATCACCTTCCAATAACAAAACGGTAAAACCACCACCTCTCATCCCCCCCCCCACCCCATGCACAAATGACAAAATGACAAAAGAACACTTAATTTTGGGGTTTTATTTTAATTTTTTTCTTTTATGATGCTACATAGTCAAACAGAATTGGTCATTTGTGACATAAAATGAATTCACAGTCAAACCCTCAATGACTACTGGATGGATTACGGGAAGCCTCTCACCCCACCCCTACGCCCCCCTCCTCACCACTCTGCTGCCGACTCACTCGCCTGGTCCCATGCTGGGCCCCAAGGGAGCGGTCAGGCTGGACTCAGGGCACGCGGGTGGACAGACGAGTGGGGCCCGAGGTCCCGTCCAAGGACAACGCGCTGGATGGGCCGCTCTTCCCATGAGAAAGGATAAAGCAGAGTCCACCGTCACGACCAAGGCCGCCCCTCCCTGGCAGCTGCTGGATGCCCTCAGAGCCAGCCCCTCCAGAGAGGGAGGGCGGCAGCGCCAGCTCTACCCACAGCCTAGGGAGCCCCAGCATGAACCTTGTGACAAGAAAACATGAGATGAAATACAGTAAATAAGTTAAACAGGCATCAAGTCTCTAAACAGTTCCGCCTTGCTGCCCGAACCGACGGCGGCTCAGCATGGTCCCTGCAAGAGAACAAAGCGCTGACTCGACTTCCCAAGTGAGGGGCTGATCGGCCACCCCAGGCCTCCACCTGCGCCGGAGCAAGGGCAGCTGGCGCTCGTCGGCTTCCGACGGTTCCTGGGTCCCAGGGAGCTGCCAGCTGGGGCAAAACGTGAAGCAGCAGGCCGGGGGTGCGTGTGGGGGTGAGCAGCGTGGGGCGACGTGAGGAGGGGGCTCCTGAGGGCCGGCGCCGGCAGGCAGGGAGCACGTCTGTGTGAGAGGTAATCCAGCCACGCGGGCGAGGCGACGTCGTTTGAAATGACACGCATGCCAGCACTGCCTAATCACGGTTCCTCGTCACCGGCGGAGATCATTCTTTCCCCCATCATTTACTATACATTTTTAACTTTCTAAAAGGTTGTTAATATTATATCTGTGCACGCGTGTGCACACGGGTGCACGCATGTTTGGGGAGGGGTAATTTAAAGGCAAGACCTGTGAGATGTCATCATACATTAATTCTGTACACATGGTTACGGCAGACTCAGCTCCCAGGCTCAGGCCCACAGGCGGCGACCGTCCCGAGCACACCCCCTACAAGGCGATCTTCCCTATGATGACCCCGACGATGAAGAACAGGACCACCAGCGCCAGCAGCCGGGTGCTCAAGCCCTCCTCCTTCCCGGCCGAGGCCAGCGCGGGCGCAGGGCTGTTGCTGTGCACCGTCTTCCTCATCCGGAGCCCGTCTTCTTCCTGGGGGAGCAAAGGCACATTTCAAAGACAATCCCAAGGCCGGGAGACGTCGTCACAGCAGAGCCTGGGGCGGGGCCTTCACACCGTGACTCGGGGGCCTTGGGGTCCGACCTCCTCATTTTGAAAATGGAGGAACCGAAACCGACAAGGGACGGCCCTGGGCCACTGTCGGAGGTCCTCCTTTTCTTCCGTCCCTGTGACCTGAGGCTGCTACAGGACCTTTTCATCCCACAAATTTAAGTGTGCACACCCTGGTTCCCGAGAGAGCTGGTACGAGGGTCAGCCAGCCCCAATGCACCCTGGGCCCCACCCTGCTTCCTGCCCCGTCTCCCAGATGATCTTCTTCCCCAACACCCAGGCTCTCCTAACCATGTCCTGGGCATCTGCGATGGCAGGCCTCCCCCGACAGACATGAGAAACCACAAAAAGCAGGGACTAGGGCTCCCCAGGTGAAGCTTCCTGCCGAGGCGGGATCTGAGGGGGTGTGTGCTGACGGTGCCTCAGGCCTGGGATTCCGGGAATGTCAAACCAGCTGTGACAACTCAAAACACTCATCACAAATGTCTTCTATTTAACGCGAGGATTCCCACCAAGGTGCAGCCCTCTTGCGCGCGGGGACAGTGGGCCCTCAACCTCACAGCTGTGTCAAGAAGAGCGAGGCTCTCCTCCTGTGCCCTCCGACGGGAGCACCAAGGCCTTCTTTCCATTCCTACCAGGGCCTCTCCTGCCCGTCACCCCGTTGACTCAGCCTGCGCCTCACACGCAGCTGCACACCCGGCTCCTTCTGCCCTCCCGCCCACCGAGCACCCCAGAGGTCCAGGAGACAGCGGCCGTCTCTGTGGGACCACTCGACCCTCTCGCCCTTGCCAGGACTTGTCTCGTGCCCCTGGGGCCCTATCAACAGAGAGTTCATCCTGGGCATGGACGGCTCATGTCTGGATCCACTGGGCCAGCTTAGTGGTAGGGACGGGGAAATTTGTTGACAAATGAAAGAATGAAACAAGACAAGAAACCAGCATCTAGCAGGAAAAAGAATCTTCTAATGTCAAGGCTGGCCTGACAATATTTTGCCAATACTCCGCCTGTGGGGCATGGCCAAGGTCTCTGCGCGGTGACAGGCGAAGGTGTCACCCCGTCACCCCCAGCAGAAGTGGAGCAGCACGCACCTGAGTATGTGGTTTACACAGAAGCTACTTCTATTTATTCATCATTCGGAATGGCACAGAACTCTGTTCTGAGGAGAAATACACTCAAGGAGAAGCTCCAGGCGTATCTTACTTACTAGACTTTTAGCCAAAAAGTGAGGCGTCAGGGTCATGATTTACCCCACACCAAAAGGAGCTACTGAACGAGGCAAGTCAAGATGAGCACCGAGCACGGCAGCGCCGTGTCCCCGCCGGCGGCCCGTCTATATCTGCCGCCTCGTCGGAGTAAGAGGGGAGGAAGAGTCAGCCGAAATGAATTTATCGTGTGTACCTGGCGCTACGGTGGCTGAAGAGTGAAAACCCATTACATGGTTGGGTGGCGTGATCATGACGAAGAGAACAGATCAGCCCCAACATTTAAGCCGCAATCAAGTCCCTGCGATCAGATGTTCTGAGCACAGACGTCCTTGCCCCGCGCCGAGGGCCGGAGAGGCCCTGTGGGCGGAGGCCTGGAGGTGCTGACGCGTGGAGTCAGAGCTGGTTCAGACCCGACTAGTCCTTCCTGCACCCTCAGGCCCAAAGGAGTGCGCGGCCTCCTCTCACCGCTGGAGCCCCAATACTGGTGCCTGCTGATTCCCCAGCTTCCGCGTCTCCCACGACACCTTCCTGTCTCCCCACATCTCAACAGTCTGATGAGCCCTGCTGCCCAGGCCCAGTCAGAGCCTTCAAAACCAGAGCTCTGCCTGCGTCAGCACAGAGCCCTTAGCAGGGCTGCTCGGCCAGCGGGGAGGGAGGTCTGAGACGTGATCTCAGGATGACTACTGCTGCTCTATTTCCGCCTCAGAGTTTATTTTCAATCTACACCAAGAGGGTGAAAGAGCGCCTGTCACCGTGTGCGCAAGGGGATGGGAGTCTAAGCTGAGCAACTTCTGCTCCAGAGACAGTGGTTCCTAAGCGGGCGGGGCGGCCAGGGGCCCTTTTGCGAACCTGATGGAAGCGGTGACATGTCTCCGGGGGTGAGCAAACACAACCGCCCCCACAAGTCTGGGGGCTCAGCAGCTCCCCTCCCAAGACCCCAGGGACGAGCCCCTCTCCGCGGATGCCGGAGACGAGCGCCGTTACCTTAAACTGCTTGTTCTCCTCCCGCAGCCGCTGGACTTCGCCTTGCAGCCGCTTGCATTCTTCCATCACCTTCTTGACTTCGGTGTCATCCAAGGAAGAACTCAGAGGTTTAGACACTGTTGGCGTTTCTGTCTTTGATGCGGTTGTGGATAGAATTTTATTTATCTCTACATCATGCTGTTCAGAAATAAACGGAAGCCCAAGCGTCACCACCAGGCAGTGAAGGACTGTCCACGCAAGCAAGCAGTTCTCAGCCAACACTACACGTGGCAGTGCCGCCTCCACACGGTACAATGTCACGTTTTGTTTCAAAATGGGCCCCTTCATCTAGTACCTTAAGCATCAAGGAACTGGGCCCCAGAAACTGTGAATGAGGGAGTTCGCTGAGACCAGCATCAGAGGAGGAAGCGTGCACGTGTCGTACCATCCACTTCCCGCCATGCAAAGACTCGCATCCTGTGGCTGTGCAAGCTCAGGGAGGGGCACCACGAGCTGGGTCATCCCCAGGGCGCTGGTGGGGTAGAGGCGAGGGAGGGCGGACAGAGGGAACTGACTGCACTGGCGCAGCGCCTCGGGGCTGCAGTGAGGGCGAACCCACTCGAGGAGCACCGGCTCCCGCCGCGAAGCCCAGGCTGCGCCGTGACCCCTGGGCCGCTGGGGATGAGTCTGCACGTGGGCGGAGAGCAGGCGCACTCGGGTGTGCTGGGGACAACCGGGATGGCCGCCCTGGGGGTCCTGTGCTGCAAACCGAGATGACTCGACTGGCTCTGCCCCTCCCCTTTCCAGATGAGCAGGGCGAGGCCCCGAAAGGCAAGGCCCCCGCTCGACAAAGCCGGACTGCAGAGCCGACCATAACGGTCTCTCTGCCTCCGGAACTGCCCTCCCCAGGACTCAGCCACTGTCCACTCCGAGAGCCGGGACAACAGCAGCCACTAATGCGCCAAGAGAACACTAAGCAGACGAGACACATGCCCACAGTGCTCCCGGGGACCGCCACGGCCCTGGGAGCCAGGGCCCGGGGCAGCTCTATTGCCCAGCTCCGGCCACTCACGCCAGGGCGGTTTAATATTCTGCATGTGTTTTAAATTAGGTGTTTAATACAGCTTAAGTTTTTCTGACTAGGGTTAGGGTTAGGGCTAGGTCCAAGTCAGCACCTCGGACCCAGCCTCCTCTTCAGCCGGTCAGTGAGGGCCTGGGCGCCACAACCCTGGACACCCAGGGGCACCCGGACTGGCGGCTGGGAGGCAGTCACTCCTTCCCTCGCCTCTCAGGCAGGACGGGGGCCACTCTCATTGGGGGGCTGTCGGGGGCACATGTGACAATGTCTGGAGACACTCTGGCTGTCACACAAGGGGTGCTACCGGCTTCTCGCACAGAGGCCAGTGGTGCTGCTGAGCCCCCCCACAGGCACGGAAGGCCCCTCCCCGCCGCGTCTGAGTGTCCACAGAGCCGGGGCCGAGAAAGGCTACTCTGAAAGCAGGCGGTGACTGAAGGGGCAGGTGGGGTCAAGCAGGCAGAGCGGTGATGCTGAGAAGGGCAGGCAGGGAGGGCTATGGGCGGCACCCGAACAAGGCCAGGCCCGGCACCTCCATCGGCCCTCCCAGCAGCACGACAGACAGACGGCAAATTATTCCCCGTTTAGTCTTCCCCGCTGTTAAAGAGCAACCCAGAACTTCGCGAAGACAAAGAAGCTCCTGGGATTTGACATTTCAACAGCCAACAGGTTGCACTTTCAAGGGGAAAAATTGTTTCAATTAGTAGTCTTTCTGCAAATCTTTCAAAGGCTGATTTCATAAAAGCCTACATATTTGTTGACTTCAGCTTATTTTTTTCTTCATACATCAGAGGAAGGAAAATAATTTGCCAACTTAAATCTTGGTTTCGCAGGAGATGGTATGCAAATAAGTATCAGCTTGCAACATTCAATTATTGTTAACTGTAAACATACTTACTGGTTTATCATTTTCTGCTGGCAATTCAAACACACATCTAAGTTTTGAATCCATAAGGTCTTCCGGTTTTGCCTCCTTCCACTAAAACAATTTAAATTTAATAATCAGGATATTATAAAGCTGCTGGAAGAATAATTTTCTTCCTATAACTGACAATTTCAGAAAAACACTCTTAACAAGAAAGCCCTGATGTATATCAAATAAAAAACTTAAGTCTGCTGAGATTTCAGTATTTTTAACACGACCGGATTGAATATACTAGCTGGGCTGAACATTTGTCGCACTTCACCAGTCCTGGTCTTGCTGTGGTGACTCCTCAAAGTCAGCAGCGCTCCCTGGTCACCTGCCTGTGGGGAGCGCGTGGGCAGAGAGAAGCACCAAGGGACAAAGGGGGCCTCCCCGGTTGGATCTGGATGGCCACAGGATGTCTCTCCTTAAGAGAGCGACACCTGCTCCTCCGGGCACATCCTGCTCAGGGGGCGCCGCCCACCACCCCAGACAGCCTAACTGGCAAGCCGCCCTCTCCCCCGCAGCTATCTGGCTGACCCCCGTGTTCCGGGTGGGAACATCCTCGGGCCGAGGGCCTGTTCTGGGGTGATGCGCTCCTGCTAGCAGCGGGCAGGAACTCCAGTGGCCTGAGAGCTGCAGTCCAGCGAGGCAGGAAGGTCACACCCCACGGAAGGATCAAGTGCCCCCGGCCCCTCCCCAGGATCATGCAGGAGGCAGCTAGAGCAACAAAGGTGCCAAGAGCCAAAAATGGGGACCAGTCTGCATTTAACAACGGGGGCGCCTCCCTAGCCACCAGGCCCTGTCCGAGTAAGTGCCATTCCAAGGGTACAGAAGAGCATTTACTCATGCAGGAGTTCACAGAGTGCCAGGCAGTGACAAACACTGCCTGCTCCCCTGCCCCAGCGCGTGCGTGACCGCCTGGCGTGACAGGAGAGCGCCGTGCAAGGGCACCACAGCCACTCGCAGCACCAGAGGCCAAGACCGCCGACGGGCAGGCCGTGCACATGGCCTCGGAGGTCACGACCACCTCATGACCCTGCGCAGAAGGGCCGACGCTGAGGACCACCAGCGCCCACCAGTTACCCCGGGTCATCTAACCTGGTGTCACTCGCAAGGGATGACAGACACCAGATGCTCTGATGGATGTACACAGGCCAGGCCTGCGGGATGTTCTGGCCCAGAAACATTCCGATGAGGAAATGTAATCACGAGGCAGTAACTGAATGAGTCCAGAACGTGAGGCCTCTGCAAGCCCCCTGGCTGCAGCTCCGTCCCAGTCCTGGGGAACAGGAGGCTCGGGGTGCCCTGCCAGAAGACAGCCCCGGCCCGGGCCACCACCGGACACCGGGGGCGAGGCATCAGGAGCCTGCCGCAGCAGCAGGACAGCGGATGAAGCCGCGAAGCCCACGTGGCAACAAGTCCCCTGGGAACTCGGGCAAAGGTGACAATGATAGGGACTGCACTATTTTTTCAACTTTTATGTATCAAAATAAAAACAAAAATATCTTAAAAATAAAAAAAAAACAGTGGCGAGGTCTAGTATGAACGAGTTAGTCACTTTTATGTTGCTTTCCCTTGTGTCTGCTTCTCTGCATCTTTCCAAAGCTTCCAACAATGCCCATCTTGTGTCAAAAATTTTTCACTGTCTTGAAAACAATGCGGGGAAGGGGAGCTCACCCTGGGTGCCTACCGAGAGCCTGGCCACGCCTGCGCTTGGCGCCATGGCCGCTCCACGCCGGGCACGATGCCAGCACGGGGCCTGGACGCATCCCCACCGCGCAGGGGACCGAGCCCCGTGCAGCCCTGCTGCCCATTAGCAGAGGGAGCCCTCGGCTTCCCATGACCCACTGCGCCATCACCGGGCGGCCGCCGTGGGGCGGACACAACTGCCCCTCCATGGCGCCCGTGTCCTCGCCACGCCGGTCACCAGGAACCGATGCGCCACGTTCCAGAAAGTAAGCGAGAAAGTCGTGGATGCCTCAGCAACGGTTTCTATGAAGAGAAGGCCTTTCTCCCGGACCACGCCACAGCCAGAACACCTGGCTCGCCCGGAAGCTGAGCGCCTGCATCAGCTGGGCAGCGCCGGGGCGAAGGAGCATGCTGTGCGGTGACCCCGGGCACGGAGGGGCTGTGCAGGGAGCCCCGGCCCACAGCTAGGACTCAGGCCCCCGAGTGGGGGTGTGGGGCGCTCCGCCTCCTCTCCAGACCGCTAGGCTCGCCTGCACGTCGTGATCCCTGCACGGCGCCCAGGAGCTGCTGTGTTACCCAAACGTGGAAGAGGCTGGCTTGGGGGAGAACTGGTATAATCTTTTTTCCACAAAATCAGTACCACATCACTTATTTATGAAAATAAAGTCATCTTATTGTTACCAAAATTAGTGAGTTAGACACGTATTTAAAGCAGGGGGAAAAAAAAGAAAGGCTCTCCCAAGGGGGAAGGAAACCCGGCCCCAAGCAGGAGAACGCTGTGGGGGCTGCAGGGCGGTCAGCACCCGACGCAGCCCGCCCGCGCCTCACAACACGCAGGTGGGGGTGGCGGGAGGGGAAGCAGGAGAGAATCCTCAAACCATTCAAGACAGAAGCCATCAGAACAAGGAACTGCTGAAGCACACGGAGACAAAAAGGTCAGAAAAGAATGCTATTCTGCAAAGTTAAAATGTTAAAATCAAAGTTTCAGAAAATCCACAAAGGAGAAGTCAGAGGACGAACCTCCCGGGAACACCGGCTCCCCGAAGAACCGTGCTGACGCATTCTCAGAGCATGCACCCGCGGTCCGCACCGCCTCGCTTGCTAACGACCGAGAAAGAATAAGAAGCATTCAGTACTTACTACTGCCTCCATATCAGAAGTGTCAGTTGGAGCAAACATAGACTGAACCATAAACTTGTGTTTACTTTTCTCATTGGGGTCATAATCGAAAGGCTGCAACATCACTAAGAAAGAAAATATTTCATTAGGAGGGTCAGAGCTTGGTTACCAGCAGCCACTTGTCACATTAACACTTGTCCCCTGGCGCAGGCAGTTGACCGGGCGCTCCTCTGAGCCTCGCGGGCCGCGGCTATAGGGGCAGGGCAAGGTGACCGGATCTTCCCACCCTGCAGGTCTCAAACCCGAGGCCCACAGAGCCAGAGGCCCTGCCCAAGGGCAAACGCAGGGCGGGTGGGCACCGGGGCGGAGAACCCTGGCACTCCGACTCCTAGCCCTGCTCTCTCACGGCACGCGCCTCTGCCACACGCCCCGGGGCACGGACCAGTGCCCACATGCCTGTTTTGTTCAAGAAAACATACCCAAATGGCCTCTTCGGGAACTCCTGGGTTGCCGGAAAGTCCCACGTGTTTTCTGTTTTTCAAGCACACGTGCATCATTGACTTTTCCGACAGCCCAGTAACACAGCACGGCCCCCGCTGTTTGCGCCCCGGCCCCACACAGCCACCAGGGTAGCGCTGCAAACACGGCTAGAGAAAGGTCAAAAATGTCACGGCCAGGGTGACTGCTCATGGAGGTCAGCAGCCCACGGAGAGGTCACCACCACCGGCTGGCGTTCACCCATGTACCCTTGCCTTTGAAGCCCTCCTTGGGGGTCCCCAGGTGCTTCCTCTAAAGCTCACCATCAAGCTAGAGCCCAAACCCTCCTGTACAAGTGAAGGACGGGGCTTGACAGGCGCGGTGCTCGCTCAAGGTCACAGCTGGGGAAGCAGCGAGACCTCGGAGAGAAGCCAGCGCCGTCAGCGCCCTCTGCCACTGGCCACTCCTGGACAGGAAGGGTGCCCACCCTGTGCCCCACACGCGTGGGAATAGAAGTACAGATGCCCCAAGTCTTCACACGCTGCACTCCCTCCTGGGTGGGACTCAGCCTTCGAACCACTGTAAAGTTAATACTCTTCAAGAATTGCAGTGAAATGGGTCGAGACTTTGATGTGCTGTGACCAAATCACACTCTGTTGTTTTTACGGGAAAGAACTCGGTGCTGGACTGACCGAGCCTCCAGGAGGCACAGCTGCAGATGCTAAGCAGCCTCTCACCCTGGAGACTGCACCCAGGCTGGCAGCCCCTTGGCTGCCACCCCATGGAGGGCGCTGAGGCTAAGGGGGACTGTCTGCAAGGCGCCCTGCGGCCCTGCAGAGACTGCACTGGTCAGAGCACCAGGACATCCCGCAGGAAGAGCCCCGGACCGCTGCTGCTGCCCCAGCCCCTCGTCCTCCTCAGGCGGTGAGGAGGGTCAGACTCTGCTGGGGCTCGGACATGCCCACGCCCGCCTGCCCCTTCCTGGAGCCCCCAGGCGGAGAGGAAGTGCCCGTGACTGTGGCTGTTGGGCGCAGAGGCACCTCCACAAGCTCCCCTCCCCCAGCCCCCACAGCAGCCCTTGTCTTCATGGTCTTCAGGGGAGGGCAGCGCTCAGAGGGCCCCGTGGTTAGCACCTTAGAGGATGGGGCCAGAGACCAACATGCTTTGCCCCAGGTCAGATCACACAGGTCTCCAGGCACACCCGCAGACCCCAAGGGCCCCCACAGGGTGACCAGAGTCCAAACAGTGGTCAGCAGCGAAGGTCACCCCCTTTCACTGTGCTGATCTGGGACGCGCGAGGCTAGCACCTCGGCGCAGGCATCGACACAGCCGGGGCTTCCTAAGGATGCCCTCAGTGAGGCCCGGTGAGCTGGCGATACCCGCACATATGCCCACCTCGCCCGCCTTGGGGAGGAAGACCACAACGGCCCCAAGAGCCTCCTGCTGGCCGCCTGAGCTGTGAGCTGGCAGGAGGCTTCCAAAGGCAACACAGCGAACTGAGGGACAGACAGAAAACCACGTCACTCAGGCCTGGTACATTCAAAAATGAATGAACACACTTCAAGGAAAACAACTTGCAGCAGTTTTGCCAATGAAAAAAATCCAAGCTCTCAAGAAAAAAGTAGAATCTTGGAAAATTTACGTCTGCTCTCAAGAGCTCCACAGCTTCCCAAATATTCAACGGCTTGTCCAAGGAGGTCAGGGGGAACAGCAAAACACGTGACCTCCTGGCATGGTGTGATGGACACGCCAACATGCGGGAAGGAGATCTGTGGGGCGCGGCTGACACTCCAAAGACCCTGCAGCACGCCACACCAGCCCGGGGAGCAGCCTGCTCGTGACTCCAGCCCTCCCGGCTGGCCCGGGGGTGCCACTGTCAAGCTCTGGTGTAACATCAACGGAGACTGGTCCATGACCGTCTGAAAAGGCTGTTAAAAGTACCCTCTTCTCTCCCACACGTCCCGCCAAAGCGGCCTTCCTTCAGCACGGCCACCGCAGCGCACAGCCCGGACCCAACGAGGAAGCAATTCCCGGAGCCAGGCCGCCTTCCGGGGAGCCAGACACCAGAGATTTGAGAACACTGTCAAATAACGTCAGTCTGCACACTGAATTTTTTTGACAAGTTATTTTTCATTAAAAATGGCATACTATTAGCAGGTAATTATTTATTAATGTTATTATTAAATGAATGCCTTTTCAATTCCTCAGTTAAATCTGCACTAAAAATACTGATACATCCACAAATAAAGACCATGGGGTCTTCCCAAGCGTGTGAAGAGGTCCTGAGCCCCGATATCCGCCCAGCTACTCCACAGGGTCGCGGGGAGCAGAGCCCTGGGTGAAGAATCCCAGCGCAGGCCCTGGGTGGGGGGTGCGGCTCCATCCTGGGAGGACGTGCAGCTCCCCACAAACCACGCCGGCGTTCGGGAGACCCGGCCTTGTGCTTTCAGGCCCATCCCGGGCTGCGGTGGAGACAGAAGCCCGTGAGCTTCAGAGGGAAAGGGCTGGGCTCCTCTGGCCAGACCACCCCGCAGGCGCTTGGCCCGCCTCTGCAGAAGGGTGCCGAAGCCCACTGCTGCCTCCATCTGCCAGGTGTCACCAGAACAATCGCTGGCCCAGGACATCAACCCACCAAGTGCCCAGAGAGCAGACCTGAGCGGCACGTCCTGCGTGCAGACCCCGAGATGGACAGACGTGTCGGCACACCACGGAGCACGAGACTGCTGGAGGCGGCAAACACGGCGAGAGCCGGCTGGTGAGGCACAGGCCAGGCCCCGAGGCCCCAGGGCCGGTGAGTGGAAACTTCAGCGTGAGTCAAGGTGACGCCAGAGCTCAGGGAGCACGGCAGGCGGGCACCCTCCTTCCCCCCGTGAGTGGCAATGGAAAACAAGGTGTCCGCCACCCGCCAGCGGCCTTTCCTTGTGGGCTCTCAACCAGCACCAAGGGTGAGGGCTCCGAGCGGCCACTGACGCCGGGAGACTCCGAGCCCCGGCGCCCTCGCCTTGCGGAGCACGGCCCCAGGTCATGTGCGAAAGGGGGCGCTTCTTGGCCACCGTCCTCTCCTGCCAAGTTCACTTTGCTGTACCCTATCAGCTGGGACTTCATGAGGACATGACAGAATAAATGTTGTTAATCGTTTGTTCTTTCAGCTCCATACATGCAAATTGTGACAGAAATTATGTACTTTTTTCCATGACAGGCTATAAAAGAGCTTCCCATTAACTTAATTTATTTCACTTGAATACCAGAGACACTGATGATAAAACCCTCTTAAATGAACCATCTATCCTACTTCTAAAGTGTATCTGCTGATCCCACGTTGAGCAGCAGCCTGTTACCAGGAGACGGCGGGAGGCGGGCGGCCGGCAGCGTTAACGCTTTGTGGGCGAGCCTGGTGTGGCCCCTGGGCTGGAGCTGGACTGAGACGAGCACAGGCTGCTTGTTAACACACCCACCTCCAGGCTCGAGGACCTGATCAAACACTACACGGAAGCTCGCGAGGAGACCCCCGGCCACAGATGGGCTCCTCCGTCCCCGAAGAGTGGGGGAACAAACGGAGACCCCACAAGCACGCACAAGCCCGCCACTGGTTGTTGAATCTTGAGATTTTACCTCCCAGAGGCCTCTCTGGCTGAACCAGACCTCGGGGCTGCCTGGGCGCCCACCTCCAAGGACAGCGAGTCTCGCCTCCTCCCAGTTTCCACCCAACCGAATTACCCCATGGAGCCCCCAAACCCTTACAAATGTACCCTCCCCCCAAATACCCATTCGTGTCATGGCATTCCTCAAACACCTCCCACCCAAACCCTATCTCCCCTGTATCCCATTGTGGTCTGGGTCCCCTGGGATTCCAGTGTAATCCAGCAGCAACAGGCCTCCCCACGTCACGCTGCCAGCGCACAAGCCTGTCCCCCCCCACACACCCCGTCTCTGCTTACTGTGTGGCCACCTGGCTTGTCTCTCTGGGTTCCCGCCCACACACAACTCCCAGGGCTGAACCCACTAGACAGGACTCCTCCCGACGAGGGTCTGACCCAGCAGCACGCAGGTGAATTCTTCCAGTCTCTGACATGCAGGCCTGGGCGGAGCCTTCTGGAGGGGCACACCTGGAGGCGGAGCCCCGTCGCCCCGCAGTCCACCACCTCCTCCTCACGCCCTGTCATCACTATCTTGGGACGGTGTCCCATCAGGAACAGAGTTGGTACGAAGACTCCAGAGGCAGCTGCCCACATGTGTGTGCCCAGGCAGGCTGTGGCCAGGACGCCAGGCCTGGTCTCCCACGCTCTAGGCACCGGTTTGCACCTTCTGTTGGCTGGCAGGTGCGTGGTGCCTCCCTCCCAACATCCAGAGCCCTTTTGACTTGGGTCCCTCCAGAAGTCCTGTGGGCCAGCCCAGAGAGGAAGCCCACTCTCTCCCTCGCCTGCGGCTTCTCCCAGGTCCTGCCATGCCTGTGGTGGCTAAGGAAGAGGCTCTGACCCCCTCCGCTGCCTCTCCTCACGCAGCCCACAGCGAAGATGTCTCTACCCAAGCACATTTATGGTGTGATAACCAAGTCATCGCTCCGCTTTTCTGGAAACTAGTCACAGACATAAGAGCCAACTGGAGCCGGAGATCAGCTGAAGACAGCGAGGGTCACCAAAACCGGGTC